GCTTCTAAAGAAGTCACCAAGGAATCTGTTCTGTACTATATCTATTTTTCTGAAAGCAGTGGTTCTGGAGCCCAAAACTGGGAAGAATGCCCTCTGCCCTAGGAGACCTTCACAGCCCTATCGATATTTTATTGAATGCAGACTTCATACTTCTATCACCCTTCCCAAACATGGCACCCTCCAGATGTGTTGGACTCACATGGTCAGTGGCTTGCTTATTAGGCAATTTCAAAAGCATGCCTTTCATTCTGCTATCAACTGAAACTGGAGTGTTGCCAACTGAGCTTATCTGTATTTCTAATTACCAGCTTAAAATTCAAGCCACAGAAGATGAGAGAGTACCAAAACTTGAGTTCTAATGGCCTTCTGCATTGATATATGTCTTTTGGATATTCTTAGGCACACTGCTCTCCAAACATGCATTGCTAAAGCAGAACATTTTTCTAAAAAACAAGCTAAATTAGTAGTGTAACAAAATCAGAAGGGATCAATGGCTGCATTCAAATGCATGCTGAAGCCAAGCAAAGGGATTCCTCTGGTGGCAGATTTGAAGCACTATTAAGTACTGTTAGCCTGAGTTTCATAATGTTCATTTTTAATGAAAATATTACCATTGAAAACTCGCTGCCTTCTTCTCTTTTAGATTTTTTCGCTTTTATAGAAAGAACCATTAATTTCCCAGTTAGTGGGTGCTTCAGTACCATTTTTGTAACTCTCACCAGGTCTCTCAACAGTCTGATCCCAGCCAGTCGGGGGTCCTCTAGCGCAGCGGTTTCCCTAGGGTTTCGCCAAAGCCTCGTGGGGGTTCCACGAAAACTCTCAAAAATCACATTTAAAACGGATTTTAAAATGAAACTATCCAAGGCCAACTAATTGTCAGCTGATGTCCAAGCAGCAACAAGGATATGCATTGTATCATTTGGTTCCTAGGACTCTATTGCATAGTGTTGGGAATAATCAAAATAATTCATTTGGGATATTACCATATAATCACTTTATTCATTTTAAATATGCTTTCTCTTTATTTCCTAACCTACTATATTATGCAAAGCACTCAGACAATAGGCGCAGATGAAAGAAGGAAGAACGTTGTGGGTTCACAATGCTAAGTAAAAATCAGGGATAGAGTTAGGGGTCAGCAGGAAAAAAAATATCTTCAGAAAGATTCCATGTCCAAAAAAGTTTGAGAACTGCTGCTCTGGTGGGTATTATGCCACACTATGCCGGTGTGATTTGGTTTTATGAGCATCACTGAGGGCAGACAAAACCCTCCAGTTTCCCTGGCTCTGAATGAGAGGAGAGCGGTGCTTCTCCATTGCTCAGGCAACTGGGTAATGCTCGTTTTTCCATGTTTTACTGGTGGTTCCACTGACATGCAGTGCAGTTTTTACTGAATGATTAGTTGGGCCTGAATAAGATAAGATTACATAGTCCATTGAAAATAATGTATGAATAATGTGCATATTTGTGTGTGCAACCAGTTGCACATTGCATTACTTTCAGTGGGCTGTGCATGCAACTGAGCCTCCAAATATGCATTTGCATTCTGCGTAACCAGACACAACTCTTGCACAAGTACCACTGAAAAGGAATGAGAGCTGCAGAATCCAAAAGATTCAGAGAGCTGGCAGTTTTTATTCTGGAACATTGACTAAGGTGTCATTGCCATTAAGGATTTATTATTTATAAATGCATGTTAGACCCTCAAGTTTAGGGCCCAAATCTGGCACTCCAGAGTTTCCCAAATGGATCATATCTCCTGGCTTTTGTGTAGTTTTTCCCTATTCTCAACAGTTGAAAGTCCTCCTCTTAAACTCCAAAATTGAATCTTTCCCTTGGGCTGAAAGAATTTTAAAACCACTACTTTACTTTTTAAAAAATTGCTCGGCCCTTTCTGCAGACTGACAGTCTTTATCCCTCTTTCCCAGTGCTGGGTCACCATACTTGCCCTGCAATAAAAGATTATTGGAGAGGGTAACAGCAGTGAGGCTTGCTGACCAGTTACTTTGGAGGTGTGTCTTTGGCCTGCCCCCCTGCCTTTCTCCTCAAAAGTGGTCCTGCCTGGAAACAGGCTGCTGACCAAGGTCTTCTGCGGTGTGATCTGGAATCCCTCTCTAGTTCCAAAGCTGTTCTGCTGCAGAACAAATGTACTCCACAAGTTCATTTCGTAAATGTTTCTGGGCTAAATCCTTGTTTGACTAAAATAGGATCTGGGACTGAGCTTTGGCGTACTTTCAACATCAAGGAAGCCACAGCACATCCGGTTTTGAAGTTGAGCAGTCACACTTATAGCCCCCAGCCCCAATTTTGTCTTTTCCATTTTGCTTGGGCCCTTTCTATGCTGCATCCTTTTCTTTCAGGTTTTCCTCAGCTGGCTAATGGATGAGCTTTAATATTCATATGCTTGTACATTGGAGAGCCATAAAAACAGCAGGAAAAAAATAATAGCAAGCTGTAAGAATAAATCCAATGTGTCTCCTCGGAGGCAGACTTTTGCCAACCCAAGTGAAGAGTGTATCACAAAAGCAGGCAGGATCTGCTCAGCAAACCCTCAGCCAAAGTACCATCCTACATACCAAAAGCATTGATCAGACAGGATTGCATTTCAAAGTGGGTTGTTATTGATCAGTGCAATTCCCTGATTGGCTAAAATCCCTTCTCCCAAAACAATCCTACATTTCCCTTAGAAGCAGCAGGTTCTCTGAGGATTGCTTGGCATTATATAAGGGAGTGTGGTCTTGCGCTGATGCTGTTTTTTTAAAAAAGAAATAAATAAAACCTATTTATCTCTGAGCTGTTTCTGTACTTTTGAGACAGAAAGGAAGAGTTTGAAAAGGTTATATATTAATAGGTTACCCTGTGTGCCACATACATAAAGCCTAAAAAAGAGGACTTGGCAGCAAAAGACTTGAGAGGGAGAAATCTCTTGTTTTCTTTCTCCAGGCCCACTTGTGTGTGCCAAATCATTGCTCAATTTTCTGAGCACATAGTTAGAATCATCCAAATTGAAAACAAGGTGGGTGTCAAGGGGGTTTAAGCAAACACTGATCTGGATAAGGGTGTTTTTTGTTTTTTTAAGTATCTTTGTTGCTAGAATGTGAAATAGAAACAGTGGAATTGCTTGCATGGTTTTGCCATCTGTGACCCAAGGAAGACAGCTGAGCTTCAAGAAAGAAGCTAAGAGAGGACCTAAAATGAATGTAAGGTGAAGGGGAATGTTCCAAAAAGGCATAAAGTGAAACCTACCTGCATATGCAATTATGCAATAAAACGTTGTTTTTTGCCTTCAGAAAGTAAAAGATTGAGTGCCATCTTGGATATAAACCTATATTCCACAGCTAGTCGGTCATGTATCCCTTTAAACATGCACTAAATCCATCCGATTTTGAATTGAAACTGTTCAACACGGAGACACATCCCAACATTCAGTCTTCAAACTCCGGCCTCCTAACCCCTTATTCCTATTAGCCATCCTATGGGAAAGGGAAAGCAAAAACAAAACAAAAATCACTTGGTGAATGTCCATCTTGATTTACCTAAGGACACTAGCCCAATTGGGTTTGGGGAAAAGTTCTAAGTTTTGTGTCATGTGGGGAACCAGAGTGGTGATTGCTTTGGGGCAGCCATTCCTACTGGGCTGGTTTGGACTCAACACAGCTTATTACACCAAGATAAACACACACCTTGTGCCTGTGCATGATGCCGCTCCTTCAAGGACTGACTATGTTAATTGACCATAGGTTTCTATTATATCTGGATTGGAAAACTATGGTTGCCAGGAACAAGAGAAACCAGGATCTGAAACTTCAGACAATGGTTTTAGACAATCTAGTTTATTCCATTTCTGGTGTTAATTATAACTTGTCAATGTGACTGTGATGGTAAACCATGGTTATTTAATCCATGACATCCTCAGTCACAGTGCACCAAGAAAGAAGAAAGGAAGGGGCTGTCTAGGCAAACAGAAGATTCATAGGTATCTCAACTAAATAAGCCAAAACATAGTACAACCGAACTTATTAATGTTGTTTGAACTCAGCTAACCATGGTGAACAACGTATAGTTCATAACTTAAAAACAAACCATGGGTTCTCTTCATGGGTTGATTGTGATTTACAAGCAATGACTTGTTAGCAAAGTTGGGTTCGGACAACACAATAACCCACAGTCTAACAAGCCATGGTCAGCAAGAACCCACACTGAACCCATATGTAACTATTGAGCATGGGTTATTGTGTTGTCTGAACCCAGACAGCACTTCTTTCCCTTCCCAGCTTATTCTGCTGTGTGCACTGATGTCATCAAGGCAGTCTTGTGGCAGAAGTCCAGGGCCCCATTCAGCAGAATGAGCAGGAGGGCCTCCAGATGCAGCAGAGGCGGCTTACCACATTTTGAACCAAGTAGTACACATAACCATTTCTCACTGTGCTCTCATCAGACCATTATGTCCAGGGTGTAAAATTACTCAACTGCACCACTGCATGCGAGTATCAAACCAAGCATCAACAAGTTTGGTGAAAAAGTACCACAATTATGGGGCAGCCAGTGAGAATATATATAAAGGCCTTGTTCTGTAAACATTGATTGACAACTATGTGTGTTCCAAAATCACATGGTGCATGCAGAGAAATTGATACTGAGTACAGCTTTGTAAATTATTCTCCAGAGGAAGTATTGAGGCTCAGGATGTATCAGTATTGGTTTGTACCATTTGGGATTTTTCATTTTCTTTCTGGCATTGCATATATATTTGTGCTACCCTCCTATGTTACTGCATAGCATTTGGAAACTCTTTGAGAGTAGGCAAAGTAAAATTATCTTATACAAAATATGCAACTGCTTGCAAATTGATTCTTTTTTACAGTTTGCAAAAGTCAGCTTTTCTTGGCATGAAATTATAGTTACAGTTATTATTTACCTTAGAGAATACACAGCATATTAATTCTTGAAAGTGCACATTATATTCCTCCACTGATTAACATTTCCTATCCTGTTGACAGATGAAACAACATTTGAAGCCGGAGTCAAAGTCCAGATTCACAGTCAGTCTGAGCCACCATTTATTCAGGAGTTCGGGTTTGGCGTGGCACCTGGATTCCAAACGTTTGTAGCCACACAAGAGCAAAGGGTGAGTCTTGCTTTCCTTGCTCACATTGGATTTTTGTGCAGGTTCCATCTCAAGCTGAGAATGCAAGGACAGTCATGCTTGATCAGACCAAAGGCCTGTCTAGTCTGGCATGCGTTTCTCACAGTGGTGAACCGAATACCTGTGGGAAGCCCACAAGCAGAAAAAGAGATTAGCAGCACCCTCCCACTCCTGTCCCACAGCAACTAAACTAATGTTCAGAGCCACGGTGCCTCCGATACTTGAGGTTTTTTATAGAGAGAGAACCCTCATGCCTAGTAGCCATTGATGGCCATTGGTGAGCAATCAGTGCTTCCAGCTCGTGAAGAGTTTGCTCTTACAGTCTATACAGATGAGTATCTGTAAGAAAGAGGATTAGAAGACTTCTCACCAGTACAGAGGACGTTTAGGCAGGAAATTTGTGTTTGTATTTTGAAGTCCTGTGAGAGGGGGAATTTATTCCTGTTATCTTTCATTAGCCACAGAAATCCTTTTCAGAGCTGGGCTTTGATCCTGTTGCTATTAATTACTGTGATTCAAAGGAAAAGGATGATTTGAAACGGGAGGCTACTGGATGCCCACCTAAAATACGGCTTCTTGAATTATTGTTTTTTTATTGTAATCTGCAATTCAGTATGTTTGCATGACAGGATTGCTATAAAGCGAAGTATTTCATATTTAGAAGTTGCATAGAAACATTGGCTCGTATCTTCGTCGGCATTTCCTCATTCTCGTGTTTTTCCCCTTAGTTGTATTTTCATATCATTGGTTCATCTAAGTGTTGTTTGCACTGACTGGCAGTGACTCTGTAGTGTTTCAGACAAGTGTCTTTCCCTGTCCTGCCTGAAAATGCCAGGGCTTGAACCCAGGATCTTTTGCATGAGCAATGGCCTTTCCCCAGGTGTGTCTTTCTTTCCCTGGTCCGTAGGGATTTTCTGGAAAATGAAGCTGCACCCTCTGCAGCCAAGCTGTGAATCCTGCCCTTACGACAGGGGTCCCCAGCCATTTTGGGCCAAAAGGCTCATTTGGATATCTAAATTGGCCTATGGAGTTGGGGAGGGGAGTGCCTGTACACAAAATGCAGGCACCTGACTATGCCACCTGCAGAGTCAGACAGGAGGGAGGGAGGTGTTCCACATTGGAGACCCCATCCCTAACCAACAACCTGGGGAATAATATATAGTGGACAATTTCCTTCTCAATTTCCTTCTCAATTTCCTTCCTTTCTCTGCTGCCTGAGATGAGCTTCTCCGCTTACAGCTATCCCCATTCACTGTAATATTAGGCACTCTGGGCACAGCACTGTGCATTCAGCTTCTCTGAATCTCAAAACCTATTGAAACCAATTCAACATGTAAAAATTTGGTACACCCAGCAGCCATGGGACCTGGCCCACCAATTATGCACACATCAAAAAAAAAAAGCACAGCATGGAATTCTACGCTATTTTACCCATTCATCTACATGCAAATGTTAACATTTGCCAGGAGAAGAGGAAAGAGCATTCCAGTCTCAGGTAGGACCAATTAAGGCCGGTGTAAACACTGGTAGGTTGAAATAAAACCTCTCCTATGACTGGAGGAAACTTTTATGGCAATATTCATGGAAACTGCACATCTGTAAGACAGGAAAGGATGAATCACAGGCAGCTGGAGATGCAGATTAGGCAAGGCTGGGATGATCCATAAAAGGCTTTGATAAGGGACCTAAGGGAGAAGAAGAAAGCATCCACATAAAGACTGGGTGAGTGAGCATTTTTCAGGCAAAGAGAGCAGGAGTAGGTGTGAAGAGGTGCAGATAAAGCTAATGGCAAATGAAGCTTTTGGGGAAAAGGCTAAGACAGACTGTTGTACGAAGCACCCACGTTGATAATTTAAAGGGGTGCCAGCTATTTTGATTAGCTTCCAGAAACCCAACCAGCATGACCAGCAGTCAGGGATGAGGAGAGTTTTAGTCCTAAATATCTGGAAGACACCAATTTGCTTACCACAGTAATGGCCGGCCTGCCCCCAAAATGCTTGCCTGCTACAGAGCCTCGCTGAACCCTTGGGGACTCAGAAGGGCACAAACTTCTTTGTTACAGGCCTTTTTGCTTGGATTGAATGTTGATACTTAGGATTAAAGCATTTGTCCTTCTGATAGTTTTACCCTAGTATACATTAGTTTGTTTTTATTTATATCACCTGCTCTTCTGCCTGTCAGCAACCCTATATGCAACAGATGGGGAAGGCTAGAATTTTAAATTCAAGCAACTCTCACCCATGTGTGAGATATTTGTGAAAATTGCTCTAAAGATTTTCTGCATTATTTCTCTAAATTGTTGGGGTGCAACCAATTGTGAAGATGAAAAGGTCACCATTACAGTGTGGATGCTTATTGGTTTTATACTGGTTTGATCATTGTAGCTCAAGATGCCGATATTTATTTCAGTAAGGACTTGCAGAGTTCTGAGTTGTGTGTCCTCATCCTGAGCTGCCACTTCACAGAGCTACTTAGGGGGTAAGAAGTTATTTGAGTCTCTCATATGCTCCAGGAAAGGTTTTTCCAGGTTGCAGGGATTAAATTGCCTTTGAGGCTGCTTTGCATCATTAATGCAAGCCTGTGATGACTGCTTACGTTGGAGAAATGGTGCAAGAGAAGCAGTTGTGATGCGAATGAGCACTCTGACCCTTTGCAGTAAGGTATTTTCCCTCAAAACATAAATTAAGATACAGATAAAATTTAAGCAAAGTGCTGTAACCATTATGTGAAAAAGCTCCAGGTTTCCAGCACATGCTCTAGTTGTCTTAGCAAAGCTTCTGGCATTCTTGCTCACATTGCTAGCACAAGGATACCTTGAATCGCAAGCAAACAGCATCAGGCCCTAGCTGGTTTGTGGGAAGTGGCTGCAGTTTCCTGCTGTCTCCAGCAATACTTTTGTCCTTGTTCTTACAAATTGGGGGGGGGGGCAGGGTGGAAGGAGGGAGAAGCACAGGTTCCATACAGGAGCAGGGAAAGGCTGCCTTGCCTGTTCCGATGCTTTCATCCATCACCCACTACCCTAAACGAAGCAGCCCAGGCACCTCCTATATGGTAGATGCATACACTGGGGGAGACATCCTATAGTAGCTGCCCAAGCAAGGAAGGATGTTGAAAAAGCCTCCTGTTCAAATTCCATTCTCTGGGATTGATGCAGTGTGAATTGTCCGCACTGTGCCATTACAGGGGGAATTGCTGGAGTCGGAAAAGCCTTTCTTCCCAAGCTCCGTTGCTCCTCGTTATGCCGCCAAAGGCAGGCATGTTAAAGAAGATGAAATGTTCCCTAAAACAGCCATTTCTGCCAATTCGGCTGTAAAAATTTAAGAGGCTTCAATTAAGCAACAGGTTAGAGATGCTGTGGCAATATTGGGTAGGATGGCTGAAGTGCACCTTGGAGACCCATCCTCTGAAATGTTCACATGGGATGGAGAGAGGCCATCAAAGGCCTAGAAAAGGGGTTTGGATACCACTGTCTAATTTCTAAGAAGAGAAACGGGGATTCAAGCCATTCTCACACCGAGGAAACCCCCTGCGACGGGGCTCGTGGGGATTGTCGTAGGAGAGGAGGTACTTGCAAGAAAAGAGGAATGACGCTTGACTAGTGTGGGAGCCTGTTCCTGGGAACAGGAAGGATCATGATAGAATGTAGAGGCAGCAGGGATGGAGAAGGAAATAACCATGAATCAGCCTTCCCCATCCTGGCATTCTCCAGTTGTGTTGGTCTGTGGTTGTTGCAAGGCAACACGTCTGGAGGGGTTCCAGGTTGAGAAGGCTAGAATTTATTAATGGAACTTTGTAGAATGAGTGGAAAAGAGGGGGAAGGTGCATAAACAGGAGACAGGAACTTTCCAGGGGGAAGATAGGCAGAGTGCCTTTCATCTGCATCTGGTCTGAGCAACACAGGATCCATAGGCTGCATGCTCCTTCCCAGCTTTAAGTGCACCACCTCCTGCCACCACTGCCGAATTTGGTGTCCTGGTGGTGAAGGCAGAAGTAAAAGCATCAGCAGTAAATTGCAGCAATGGCCTAAAAAGGGCAATTTTAGCTTTAAAGCCCTGGTTTAACCGTTGAGTTGCCAGCAAAATTCAGCAGCAAACCACCTGTTGTTTTGCCACTGGTGCCACTGAAATAGGGTGATCTGCAGTGATGGGTGCTGCCCTGAGGAGTTGTTCTGGGGGGTTGACATTGGCTCTTGAAGCCTCCAGAATTGGCCAGCTTTGATTTACATCTTGTGACTTCAGAGTCATTGCCCACTTGGCAGGTCCAGTTTGCATATATTCAACAGAATCAAACAATATGGTTTTCCTGGACTATCAACCTTTCTGCACAAGGCATTTATTTTGTGTTTGTGATTCCTTACTTCTGGTAGTATGTGGTTACCTTACATGAGCACATCCTCTCCAGGGCTTCTCCTTTATTCTGCAGCCATTTTAGTAGGGTGTTTTCCTTCTGATGAAGAAGGTCCGATATAGCCCTGAATGGTGGCATGAAACCTGGATATATTAGCAGAATTCCACTATGACATAGCACCATCTGGTGATTGAGTAATGGAACAAATAGAAAGATGGGTGGGGGAGGGGAATCCAGGGAAAAACATATGTAATGTTTTAATCCCACAAAGAAACTGGAAGCCCAAGCATCAGTAAAGTGAGGGGCTAAAAGCTTCATGTTGAAAAATGTTATAACACTTCACGGTAAAATCAGGGAGTGAATCTTGGGTTTGCAGGTTTGAATGCTATCCCATGGAGAAAAGGCAAAATCTCTCTGCAGATAGAAAAAAAAGTATTGTAGTGGATACACTGAACTCATCTCCTTGATGTGCTATATTTGTATCTACAGGGAGAAATGTTGAGGTAGGGGGCATTTAAACCCCGAATGAACAGCATGGCTGCTTTGATTGTGCTGGCTATATGAACTGGCTGTCTTAGGGTTGTGCAGCAGAACCAGTTTTGCTAACACCTTATATGAAACAGAGAGGGAGATGT